GCTTAGAGAGGGCTGAAAGCCCTATGAAGCGGTAGATAAGTCTAACTGCTATTGCTATTGCTATTGCTTGCATACTAATACTTCCTATGTGTCTCGTATGAATTACAGAGGGGGAATGTGTTTTGTTCCATTACAGAGTTGCCAATCTGTATTTCTTATTCATCGCCCTGCTTAACTGGGTCCCAGCGGTGGAAGCCTTTAGAAAGGAAGTCACCATGATTCCTCTCTGTGTGGTTCTCACCATTATCGCCGTGAAAGATGGCTTGGAGGATTACACCAAGTACAAACTAGACAAAAAGATCAATAACTTCATCACCAGGACATACTGCAGGTACGTAACAGTCCTTCCACAGCCGCATCCCGAAACCTCAGTTGGACAGCTGCCCATTGAAGGCTCTAAGTCACACCGTCATTAAGCGAATCCCTCTTTGGGAAGGTTGCAAAAGGGGATCTGATTGGTACACTACAACAGTCATAAGTACATGCCAGTTTCCAAGCCTCTGAATTTCGATCACGCGGCTGCAGGGATGCTGCAGTGGCCGTCAGTGTGAAAAAAATGGCCCTTTTTTTTTAGCGATGTTGTCACTTCGAAGCCTCTGTCGTAAGTCGAGGACTATCTATCCGTATCAAAATAAGGGCCTGCAATTGTTTTTGCACAACCTTGCAGAAACCATGGGAAAAACGAGGAGATCCCCGCAGAGGAAAGTGTGGCAAAAACAAAAAAATATTAGAATGTGTGGAGATGGATAGATGAGCACTCAGAATAAAGGAGAAGGAAGAAGATTTTTGTTTTTTAAACATGGGACTCTTTCTGTTGATAGAAACAGAAGTCGGAAATTTAAAAGTTGAGGAGAATGAATAAATATACAACGAAGGTTCATCATTGTACGGAGAAGCAAATATGTATTATTAGGATGTGATTATTAGCAATGGTACGAATATTGTTATTATTATTACGGCTATGGTTTTGCAAAACTAGATGTACTCCGTCAACACGCTGTTCATGTGGATGCTGACTTTTTATGCTTACTAAATAAAAATTTATTAATAGAATAGAATACAATAGCAGAGTTGGAAGGGACCTTGGAGGTCTTCTAGTCCAACCCCCTGCCTAGGCAGGAAACCCTCTACCGTTTCAGACAAAT